AAAAAAAAAAAAGCCAGGCATGGTGGTGGACGCCTTTAATCCCAGCTACTCCGGAGGGTGAGGTGGGAGGATGGCTTGAGCCTGGGAGGTGGAGGTTGCAAGGCTGCACTAAGCTGAGATCACACTCCACTCCACTCCAGCCTGGGCTTAGAGCTAGACCTCGTCTCAACAACAACAACAAAATGCAGAGTGCATTTCGAATGCAACAAAAGGCTTGGTGGTGGAAATCAGAGAGCAGGGTTGAAGGTGTGGAATATTGAAGAGTTTTGAGAGTTGAGGTTGGACAGTGACATTCAGGAATTGGGATTTTGCCTAGGAAGCAATGGGGAGCCACTGAAAGTATATGACTTGGTCAGATTTAGGTTTAAAAAACCAAGAAGGAAAGGATGGGGGAGGGAGAGATAGAGAAAGGGTTGGAAGAAAGGGAAGTTGGCTGCTCCAGCATGGTAACTGGAATCGAAGAGTGAAATAGTAATTGAGAGTAATTGAGGGGAGTTTGGTTACTAGGTCAGTGTCAGGAATGATGGAGGCCTGGTGGAGAGGAGGGGACTCTGAATAGAGACTTTTTTTTTTTTTTTTTTTTGAGACAGTCTTGCTCTCTTTGTATTCTTAGTAGAGACGGGATTTCACCATGTTGGCCAGGCTGCTCTCAAACTTTTTTTATTGTTGTTTTTTGTTTTTGAGACGGAATTTCGCTTTTGTGGCCCAGGCTGGAGTGCAATGGCTCAATCTTGGCTCACTGCAACCTCCACCTCCTGGGTTCAGCAATTCTCCTGACTCAGCCTCCCGAGCTGGAATTACAGGCGCCCGCCACCATGCCAGCTAATTTTTGTATTTTTAATAGAGACGGGGTTTCACCATATTGGCCAGGCTGGTCTCGAACTGTTGACTTCAGGTGATCCACCCGCCTCGGCCTCCCAAAGTGTTGGGACTACATGCGTGAGCCACTGCGCCCGGCCAATTTTTGTATTTTTAGTAGAGACGGGGTTTCACCATGTTGGCAAGACTGGTCTCAAACTCCGACCTCAGATGATCTACCTGCCTCGTCCTCCCAAAGTGCTGGTATTACAGGAGTGAACCACCGCGCCCAGCCCCCTACTTTTGTTTTTTAGTAGAGACGGGGTTTCACCTTGTTGGCCAGGCTGGTCTCAAACATCCTGATCTCTGGTGATCCGCCCGCCTCAGTCTCCCCAAAAGTGCTGAGATTACAGGCGTGTGCCACCACACCCGGCCTGAATAGAGAGAAATTTAACAGTATGAATGGAGGGAGGAGTCAAGAACAGTTTAGGCTTCTCGCGTACATGATTGGGTGGACTGAGATGTCACTCACAAGTATAGGCCTTGGAGGAGGAACAGAACCAGAAGAAGAGCCCTTTTGTGCTCCGCCCATAGCGGTAGGAAGGTGTCAATTGGCTGTTTCGAGGAACGCGCCAAAAACTGCCAAGAGCGGTAGGAGGTGTGTTCTTGCGTCATTTCCTAGAGACTTCCGGGCCGCCGTTTCCCGGCCTCCCCAATGCCGGAACTTCCGGCCGGCGCAGCCATTTTTGCTTGCTGACCTTGGGCTACGGCTGACAGCTTTTTGTGGTGTACTCCGTGTCATCATGTCCGTCCTGACGTCCCTGCTGCTGCGGGGCTTGACAGGCTCGGCCCGGCGGCTCCCAGTGCCGCGCGCCAAGGTCCATTCGATGCCGCCGGAGGAGGAGCTTGGGACTCTGGTGAGGAACTGGCCGGGAAGAGCACGGGAGGCGCCGTGGGCTTGCCCCTTCTGCCTTGCTGACCTCAGGCGGTCCTGAGAATGCCCCGCACCCCGCGCCCCGCAGCGTAGCGGGGAGCAGCATTGCCGGTTTGGGCATGTCTGGAGGGCGCGAACGACGGGGACAGTGCCCGGGCGACAGTCGGGGCTGTCGGCGTTAGGTCTTTCCCCACCGCCCCAGGATCTCGGCTCAGGTCCTGTCAGGCCCTCCCTCTCCTGTCGCCTCCTCGCTGCACTGCCTCGAGCCCATTTTCTCATTGGTTCATTGGGGGATGCCTGACGCTGTCAGCGACGATAATGGTTGTTACCGGCATTTTATTTTATTTATTTATTTTGAGACGGGGTCTCGCTCTGTCGCCAGGCTGGAGTGCAGTGGCGCGATCTCGGCTCACTGCAACCTCCGCCTCCCGGGTTCAAGCGATTCTCCTGCCTCAGCCTCCCGAATAGCTTGGGACTACAGGCGCGCGCCACCATGCCCAGCTGAATTTTGTATATTTAGTAGAGACGGGGTTTCACCATGTTGGTCAGGATGGTCTCTATCTCTTGATCCGCTTCCCTCAACCTCTGAAAGTGCTGGGCTTACAGGCGTGAGCCACCGCGCCCGGCCTGGGAGGGGGTTTTAAGGCAAGGAAGGATAGGTACAGTTTTGGAGTTACTGGCCCATGCAAGGATCCTGGGTGTTAACAAACAAGCTTTGCTTTTTTTGTTTGTTTTTTTTGAGACGGAGTCTCGCTCTGTCGCCCAGGTTGGAGTGCAGTGGTGCGATCTTGGCTCACTGCA